AACTCCCTGATAAGACTTATTAAAAGGGAGTGTCACAAAAGCCACTTCATGTCAAAAATAATAATGTTAAGATTATTCCACAGACAAAAGATAAATACTTAAAATATGTAAATTTGTTTTAAAAGAAACTAAATGGCCTAACATTACATTTCGATTGTTAGATAGAAAAACACAAAAGCCATGCTTGAAGTGTGTGAATTAAGCATCCATATTGATCACTGATATGTTTTTGATTTGAGCAGATCTGCTTCTCCAACCACACAGCAATTCACCTTTAGCGAAGCTCCTCCCACAGCGATTCACCAGTAAATGCTGGAATATTTTCATCGGCCTACAAGTGAAGACAGACTTTATTAAAGAAAGTCGAAAACATGACTGATCCAGAACCCTGCAGAATAAAACAGGAAGACACTGAAGAAAAAATAGGTTGGTGTATATTCTTGCTTCTTCACTAAGGTTATAAAACTTAAAAGCAGTTCATCAGATTCAGTGGTTGCATTTAGAAAAATCATAAAGCTGTGAAATAACATCTAAAGCTGCAGTACAGAAAAGACGTGAATTTAAAAGTTACAGTGGTACATTGTTTTGTTGATTACATTGAGTTGAGGCTGAGCTATTCAGCAGATTCAGCTTGGATGAATATGATGGATTGAGGTGTACATGTGCCTGTGGTTAAGGGCATTCTGTTTTTGTTTAGGTTTTTTTTGTCACTAACGCCATCAAAACTCACCCCTCCTAAATGAAAAGAAATACTGTTAAAAAATAAATAAATAAAAATAAAAGAATAAAATGAGCCAGTAATATCTTCAACAGTTTTTTTTTTGTTTTAAAATAACATCACAAAAGTTAGGTAATGCTGACATTTGAGATAACATTTGCTAGATATACAATTTATAATACAACAAATACATTTGTTTGTTTGTTTTTACTTGAATGCTTCTGTTTACAAAAAAAAGTAATGATAGGTAATTTTGCTTTGGAACCTTCAGAAAACTTCAACTCGATTTTTCTCAAAACTTACTTTGCTGACTCTACAGTCATGGCCAAAAGTTTTGGCAGTGACATAAATTTTG